CTAAAATCCAAATAGGGGCCCTCACCATCCCCTTGGCTCAGCATCGACAAGAAAATGAAAAAAAAAAAAAAGTATATATATATATATAGCCAAACCTAATTTTAAAAAATGCTGACAGAGTGTGTCATCTCCCCTCCTCTAAGTGTCGCGTCGCTCCTGCGCCTTTCCTTTCCTCGGAGAGGCCTGGAAAACAGCTTTTTCTCGAAAGCAGCTGGTCGTGGGGTTAAGTTTGTGCAAGTTGTATGTGCTTATCACAGACGAACAGTAATCCTATTTACTTTTAAAAATAATAATCATAGAAAAGGTATTGCTTTGCGATTCCAAGCAGATTGAAAGCAGTTTTATGATGCTTGGCTGTAGAGCTATATTTTTTAACCTTTAAAGCTTAGTCAGGTAATTATGCAAGAATTACCAGGGGAGGAGGAAGAAATAATGAGTTTTCTGCCCTAAAGAATGCAGATGGTCCTTTCAAGTTTAAAGATTAAAAAAAAAAAAAAAATGGTAACAATTCATTAGAGTTTTAAGGTATCTGTGTTTAGGGCAGTTCCTTTCTGATGCTTGGCACTTAATTCAAAGTGAAGCATGAATTTTATCCCACACACTGAATAAAAAATAAATTACTTCCTTATTCCCTCTTGGTTGTTACTATACACCATATTTCTCTAGTGTAATATTCTTAGATGTTTGTATACAGAAGAGGAAGTGGTGTTTTTGCAATGGCATATTTAGTGGAAATCACAGGCAAGAAAAATAAGCTACATCCTGAAAAGAAAGGCAGGGGAGAAAGCAACAGATTTTGTTGCTTTAGGTCTCTAGCCCAGAACTTCGGAGAGGATATCTTGCAGGTTCACTATTGTCTAGTTGTATGCATATTTTCAGAACTAAATCATCTCTGCAAGATGTTGAAGCAATTTTTGGCACAAGGCCTGAAAGAATTATTCAGATGTCTTTGAACTTTTTGAACCAGTTGAGCAACTATTTCAGCCGTCAAGAAGGCTGAAAGATGAACAGATTCTTAGAGTTTGCAAATGTAGTTCTAGAAAGGCATAGGATTTTTTTCTTTTTGCAGCCAGCGTATCAATATCTTAGCAATTACCTTGTTTGTATTACACTACTTTCTTTATAAGAACCTGTAGGAAGTACATTATTTTTTAAAAAGGCTTTGTTCTCAAAAAACTGTTTTTCTCACTCACAGGCTACTACAAAGCATAGCACCTTTTATTCATGAGATAAGATTTCTGTGTACTAATTCGAAAAAGGCTTTGTTATCAGTAAAAATATTAACTCAAGTTCTTTTTCAGTACCCTTGTCCTCTTTGCAGTGGTTAACATCGTTTGCTGTTTCAATAATGCTTCAAGAGGAGTATAGAGTATTTACTTTTGCAAATGGGTGCAGAATCAAATAAGAGCCTTTTATAAAATCCTGTCCTCTGCTGAGCAGAGCAGATCCCATTAAAGTTGGAGTGGATGAGCAGTCATTTATCCCTGGATGGAATTTGGCCCTTTGTGAGATGCCATTTGGAATTAATACCCAAATCTCTCAAACCATGAGGAACTAAGCTTTAGGATTCCAAAAATTCTTCACGTGCAAGGCAGCCAATGATGAGTGCAAAACAATTTTACAATGATCTAAGTAAAAATATTGCCCAGGAGAAAACTGACAGACTACGTGAAACTTAGGAAGGTGTGGCTTAAAAACACTGAATACCTCCCTGTCCTGCTTAGAGAAATTTCTAAATGTAATGTAAATCTAAATGTGACTCCTAGTTTTTAAGCAGGAAACACTGTAGTGGTACATGCAGGGCTTTTACATGCAACTAAGAACCACATGTACACTCAAGTGTACTCAGTGCAAAAATGAAACTGATTTGGCGAAATTAGCACAAACGATGCCTACACATTTGGGACTGCTAATGTCCAAATTCCCAGTGAGACACACACACAGATCATAGTCATAAATTTAGAGTCTTGTTTGACAGAAAACAAAATACAGGAGCATGAATCTACAAGCATACATACAGGGCTCCTTGAAAACAGTTGCTGGTAAAAAAAGGATTCCCATTACAGAACAAATAAGCCTATCTGTAGTCAGTCCTTTGTTAATTTAGCAGCTGAGGGGAGTGGTAGATGGATGCTTCTCCTGGGAACAAAA